GTAAAATTTTCATTTTATTTGGCTAAAGAACCAGATGAGACCAGGCATCAGATATGATGAATGGAGAAAGGACATTCAGTTACATTAAAGGCATCGTTCACCCAAAAATAACAATTCTGTCATGTTGTTCCAAACTTTGTTCCAAACTGATGTTCTGAAGAATTGTTCAGCTGTTATTGTCCATACAGTGAAAGTCAGTGGGTTCCAACACAACAGCATCTTCCCACAGGTATGTTTGGATTGGAACATCAGGCTGAGTAAATGATGACAGAAGTCTTTAAGGCTTCCCTTTAATTTAAACACAACATCAGAGTGCATCCAGCTAAACATCTCAGAACCAGGATGAGACTACATCTCCTGCTTGACACTAATCACCACAGTTAGAGAACAAGGCTTTGTAAGGCTGAGATGAGTCATGTGACCCTTTGAGGGACCTGAAAGGAGGAGAGATTGCTTCTCTCCAGCCTCCTTCCCTCCTCCAGTTCTAAATGACAGGGTTATGGAGACGATTGCTGAAGGTTCATCATTGTGCTCCTGTGAAGGGGGAAGGGGAGAGTATTAATGGGAGTTTAATTATGAAGTGAGGGGCTTATTAACAATGTGAAATGATAAACCCCCTCCCTACGCAAATACACACACACCCTCCCCCTTTTCATCCCACCAGCTGATCCTAATGTAATTCAGGCTGCAGGGTGTTCCGGCACCAATCTGAAGGGGCAAAGGTCAAAAAAAGTCAAAAGGTCTTAAAAGGGACAGAATAAAGATTTTGTGCTGCACACATACAGTCATTATTATAACCACATGACACACCAGGAGTCACGGATCCCTTGTTAATGTCTTATTTTCTTGCTGTTTCTATAGCTTGTTTATTTATTATGTAAATCTATATTCTCACAGACGTAACTGGATATTAGTGCAGAAGGATGTTGAAGAAAATTGAAGCAACCTACAGCAAGGAAGAGAAAGATGGGAAGAAACCGAGGTAAAGGAGGACAAAAAGAATGAAGATGTTTTAATAGTGATGTTTAATAGAGAGATAAATGAAGGGAAGAGAGGGAGAGATTAAAAGAAAAAGGGTGACAGTTTTTTTTTTCCTAAGCTAAGTTCTAAGCTAATGCGCAGATTTAGTTACACCCACCCTTAGCCGGCAAATATAAGCAGCAGAGTGCACACACACATCCATACAAAACTGCTGCCTCCTCTGCACTGGCACCGTAATCCCTTCTCTCCCATTCACTTCTGCACACACACATGCTCTCAATGGGACTGAGATACACCCTTTGTTGCTGTAACAGAAACCTGGCATACTGAAGCCAAAGGCTGGTGGGACGCACTGTGTGTGTGGCCAAAACGAAGAGAGAAACACAGAAAGGGAATGACACGGGAACATAAACTCATAGAAACACATGCAAAAGGACAAAAATAAGAGTGTTCGCTTCAGTGCCAGTATACATTTAATCATAGCCAGAAGGCATGATGCAGAAATATTAGGGTAAGCTCTGCTTTTAACCTCCCAGCCTGTCAGCGATTAGTCATGTGAGCCGATCTGCTAACTCAGAAAGAATGCTCAGGCCCAAAACAGACCAATCACGGGCCGGACCTGGAATTTGCATATCTCTGTCCAGAGTTTGGTCCAAATTATGAAACTAAGAGAAATTTCCTCAGTTGAAAATTCACACCTGAATAGCACATTGCATTGAGTTTTTTTTTTTTTAATAGAGGTGAACACCAGTATTGTTAGTTATGTACACTTAAGTTTGGCTTATTATAAAAGAAATAAGTGGGAAATGACTGCCCAAAACACATAGAATGTATTCAATATATCTGAATCATCATCAAATTAGGTGTTTTTTATTACTTTTTAAATTGTCTTAAAATAAAAATGCAATAAAATGAAAACTTATATGTTTGACACTGACTTCAAACTTAAGCTCAAACTTTGCAATAATGCCTTGAAAGCCTGTCAATAAATTTAATGGAACTTAATAAGTCCACATATCTGTGGAATAACTATGTGTATTTTCCAAAAGGCAGATATTTGTGACCAAGATGTTCAGAAAATATTTCGGTTGTCCCTCATTCGTGCAGTTTTACCTGCAAAATTTTTACCTAAATATTTTCTGTCTGTGGGTTTATAATAGTATTTCCATAAAAAGCCATGCCCCATGATCAATAAATATTAATAGTAATTTATATTTTTAAAATGTATTATAGGTTTATGTAAAATTCCTCCCCTATTATATACTAATGATTGTAATACACATTATCAGATAAAAATGCTTGAATTATTTTTAGCAAATAAATGTCTAATTTCAAGGGCCACTGTCTTACTAAATCACTCTAACTAGCTATCTTGTTCATAAATGACTTGATATAGTTACTAATTAGCTAACTTAAATTATGTATTTTTATGGCACTTCAAGATGTTGGAAAGATCAAGTAATTAGTTTAATACATGCCCACACAATGCTATATTCCAACACTGTTTATCCTTTTACACAGGTTAACGCAATACTGTTGCAAAACCAATAGAAAAAAAATCTCAAAAACCTCTGCACAATTTCTCTGTATTATCAAGCCATTTAAAGCACCAAAAAAGTATATATGTCTTTTGAGAAAAGTAAAATGATTACTCTCACTAAGATGATAAAATAAAAAAAATAAAAAGATTTCAATACATTTTCCACAAAAAAATCTATTTAATCTATATAGCCTTGCCTTGTGATGTTAATTGGTTTGTTAATATATTTTCTAATAAAGGGGTGAACATCTGGGACAGATATGCAAGGCTGCGCCAATCAAAGAGGATTTAGTGCTGTCAGTCAAACATTTTATTGGAACTAACTAGTCAATACTAGCTGCTGGGCAAAATGAACATGGTATTTAAACAAGGTGCAATACCCCTTTAAGAATCGGAGAACATCAAAGGGACACATTCCTGACAGCTTCATCCATCAAATCTCACACTTTCGACAGAATTCCAGAGCTCAGGGAGGATTCTGAAATTATGAAGTGATTCTAGACCCAGGGAAACCTTTTATAGCTCTAAACAGGTTCTAGGACTGAGAGAAGATTCTGGAGTGAGGCAATGCAGTCTGGATGGGGCAGATACAGGCGGCCTGTTCTGCTTCTACAGCTGCTGGAGCTGAGCTGCTGTCATAGCAACAGCAGCCGACATCACCAGCAGTCCCAGCATGGTCCTCGACACAGCCCCGGAGCATTCACACTACACAGAGAAAGAGAGGATGCTCACATACCAGCACTCGCATATGGGGACACGTGGTCGACATGATTTTGCCAAGTAAGACATGTTCCTGGATCAACATCTTTTGTTGATCCTGGATCAATATTACTGTCCAAAAATACAGACTTAATCCAATCCCTACCCCTAAACCTAACCGTACCCATAATTTATTCCTAAAATCATAGGGAAATGATAGCTGATTAAGGGTGTAGAAGCACCTAATCCTGATTGTAAGGCTAAAACTGACATTTCCTGAAAAGTTATCTCTCAATTCTGATTGGTTGATTGGAATGATGTTCCAGGATCAACAAGGATGTTGATCCAGGAACATGTTGTACTTGGTCAAATCACGCTCACCATTTTCACTCATTTTATTGTTATCACAAATCAATACATATTAAAATTCACGAGTGGGCAAAGTGCTGCTGGGTGTCTATGAGCTAATCACAATGTTACTGAGTGCTCTATTACAACAACAGAGCACTCAGCTCAATTTACCTGAAACCTTAAGAGTTGGACTAACAGAATCCCTCTTCATGTAAGTTAATAAACCATCAAATAAATAAGTAAACAAATAATTTTAAACAGTTTACTCAACACATTTTTAAACAGAAAACAAATCATTTGTAATGGACAGTCAATGGTTTTCTGCACTGGTCATTTTTCACTACATTCCCTGCATTTATCAAGTGCATGATTATAAATGGGAAAAAATATTGGCTTTTATTTAAATATGGCCTAAATATGTTTTATTTGAACGTTTTGTATATTATTGTAAAATTGTTATATTGAGAAGAATAGGCTACTTTAATGTTAAAAATACCCCTAAATCACCATAGTGCTCAAAGATGAGAAGTTAATTCCCATTTATAATCATTGCTTGTTGTTTTGTAACCACTGTTATTTTACAAGAGAACAAAAACATCTGAACCATGTTGATATAAATGCGTTTTTTTTTAATTCAGTTTCAATATATACGCAATAGGGATATTTTCGCTAATGTTGATTATTAGAAATATAAAGTCATTTCCCCCTTTTGTCTGAATCGGAATTTTCTCTTTATTGCGACACCAGATACTGCCTACCCGCTTTGCAACCACTGCGTCCACGCGCTGCACACAGTCTACTTCCTGGAAAAAAAGTCTAAGATATAAAGAAAACATAGTAGCCTAGGCTACTTCGTTACGGCTGCTTTTTATTTTAATGTACGCCACGGAAGACGTTTCTGTCACAAAAATACCAGTAGCTATTAAATCTTGAGGATTCTAAACGAGAGATGCCAATTTGGGACGGTCTCTAGCGTGGTGGCAGCAGTGCACGCGCAGGTCCGATTCAAACAGGTGGAAAGAGTGGGACAGTCCTATCGCGTGACGGCGGTCAATTTTAACCCGCATAGCGTTTTTATTTGAAACGTTATTATTAAAATAATTCGAGTCTTTTTTTGCTAAACATTCTCGCGCCCGTATGACATCAACAGGCTTGTGCCACATCCCAGAATAGAACGCTGTCTCGCGCCGGTCGGTTTGAAAAGTGGGCCGTTAAAGTCGGTTACGCCGAGCTCTTTTTACCCCTTTCTGGAGCCAGGAAGGTTTGTGCCTGTGTGTGAGTGTGTTTTTACATTTACGGTATTGACCCTCGGGGTTTTTCCCACTTGCACTGGTCCTCGAGCCGTTTACGCACAGGTGGGAGATACCCGCTTGGTAGGACGGCCCCCTCTCTCAGTTCCTCAGCGGATGATGTGTGCAAGTGACATTTGCCGTTGCGGTTTGGGACAGTAGGCGAGGCGTCTCTGCAAACAGGTGTGCGACTGGCCGAAACAGGCACACATAATACGACTTTTTTCGCCTTGTTTAGCGGAGGTGGACCTCCAGCACCGGTGTCGAAGCGATCATCCTCGTAGCGGGACAGGGAGAGGAGGGGGAGTCTACTATCATTTTCAGGCTTTGTAGTTGCATTTGATCGTTTCGAAAAGGGGCTCGCGGCTCACAAAGAGGAAGGGATGGCAACTAAGAAACCATGCGCGTCTTTAACAAAAAGGAGCCGAAGTCCCGTCGTGCTGGAGGCAGAGATGTTCAGCGAATTTCAGGACTGGTGTCTCCGGACTTACGGAGACTCGGGTAAAACAAAGACCGTCACGCGCCGAAAATACAACAAAATCATGCAGACCCTGCTACAGAACGAGGAGTCGGACGGTGTCTATGTCGACAACAGCCATATCAACGCCAAATTCAAATTCTGGGTGAAGTCCAAAGGCTTTCAGGTCGGCTGCAACATCTTGGGCGAGCACAACAAGAAAGAGCCATCGGGGAAGCCCGTCCTGTACGTCCCTGTCAAGTCTACGGTAAAGTGCTTTTTTTCAGTTGACTATATGTGAGTGAATTGTGTCTGTGTGAATGTGATTGTAAGACTTCAACTCTCAATATGGTTCTGCTGATGCTGTAGCCCTTTTTCAATATGCTTCGGGACAGCGCTCGTTTGATTCCACCTACGCGCAGCCCACATTACTGTGCGCAACTTTTCAATCTTACACCTCGGGTTGACCGACATGTTCATCCCTCACCCCAACCGGGCAGAACAGTCTTACTCTGAGAGCTGGCTGCCATAGCAACGCCGGTCCCTCTTATAACGGCGGTAGTAATGGTATCTGACGAATTGGCATGACGTTGTCCTGCTGACGGGATCGGGATGTCACAGAAAATCACAACGTGGCTCGTTTTTTTATCCCAGCAAATCATGATAATGTTGATTGAGAGAACGTTATTTTATTCACTTTGCTTTATGTCACTGGACGTTTGGAGGCGGGAGCGCGCGTGTGGTGAGCTCGTGTACCCAATTGTTGGGGTCTGGGGATGCCGGAGCGCAGAGGGGCGCGAGAGTTTTGCTTAGGGGCTAACGATATGGTGGACGTTAAAGTACAGCTATATTGCTCTAAATGAATCAGTATCGTTTGAGAAATTAGTGTTTGAGGGACTTCAGCTGCTCTCGTGGACCACTTGAGGGTCTCGCGCACCATCCTCCTCCTCCTGTGGGCATCTCAGGCACTGACACTCGCGCGCTCGCCGATCAATGTGCGACATTTAACAAACATTAAACATGGAATAAAAACAGCGTTTGAGCAAGTGTAATGCGAAATGCTGTACTATTTCAACATCGTGCCTCGTACGTTTTTATTCTGGAGAGGGAAAGCAAGCTCTTGCATTGTTCTGTACCGGATGAGGGCGGAGCGGACGGTTGGCACCCGTTGCTCTGGTAACCTACCTGTTCTGCTCTACAATGCTCGCGTTTTTTTCACACATCCCAGGACTATGACTGAATCAATCATTAGAAAGACAACCAAAGCAAGGGTTCATTTAGAATCAGTTTGATGACCAAGGAATGGACAAAAATTCTGCACCCCGAGGATGCTCGATGTTTCATTTGTTCGGTGCATAAAGGCAGTTGGTCACGAAGCTTATTTAAAGACCCGGTCTGGCCAATAATAGTTTTAATAATAGTTTAATGGACAGAAATAGTTATCAATACCTATCATTACAGTAGGGGTTTATTCTTTTTTTTTAATTCATTTAGAATATAAAATGTCCAAATTTAATGTACTGTAAAGGCTGATATATACACCCAAGTGACTGTTTTCTTGAACACTAGGAGGTCCTCGACTACCACTGGTGCATTATGCTGTTCAGGGTGTCATGAACAGACACCATTTTGAGTATTGCCCTCAAGGGGTCCCACCAACAGACCTTTGTCTGGCATCCAGGAGGACCGACTCCCCTGAGGCTGGCACACCTCAGCCTGAGATAAATAAGCACTCAAATTAGAAACAATGGTGACGACTGTTTTTTAAATGAGTATTTTAATGTTCATACTTGTTTCACTGTTCACATAAAATCCCAGGTGTTTGACTATGCATTTAAAAACACAACAAAGATCAGTAATCATGCCAACGGGAGCCACCAAGTGAGCAGTTTGTACAAAAAAAAAAAGAAAAGTATCTTCTTTTTTTTTTTTTTTTTAAATAACCAAAGCTAAATTAGCATCGATTAATCCTCGTTAGCAGATAATTGCTATGCAACCATTTGACAGCTCCTAACAGGCAGCTCCCAGCGTGCTTTTCATTTATAAGACTGTATTAAGAAGAAATGAGGCAGAACTCTGAACATTGTAACATCTACTGCCACAGTTAACCCTTCACACAGATGTGTCGGTTTAACTACCCAAAGGACGTCCAGTGAGCCTGATTTATGGATATATTCTCTATCCATAAATTGCTCCTGTAATGGAATGAATGTGCAAGTCAGATGTGAAACTGAAGTTCATAATTACACATATGTATTACTTGTTGAGAAACACGGCCCTCCCCCACCAGCATATACGCACATTTCTCCACCCACTGCTTTCTCTCTCTTTCTCTGAGGACATGTGGCTGATCTGAGGTCTGTATACACTGGCATTCACTATCATTACTTAACAACTCCCTAATGCTGTGTTTGTTTTACCCTTCATCAGTCATTCTGTCCCTCTGTGGAGACTCTGTGCATCCTAATACAGCCTCCTGTCACTGCATGACACATACACATACACTACATCTCACAAACGATCTGTCAGTCACACAGATGACCAGTTCTGTCATATGGGAGAGGTTATCTGATCGATGGCCATATGGAAGAGCATAGAAAATCACTGAATGGCCCATCATTGCTCAATCACTGTTAAAGCATTTTAGCATTTTTGTCAAAATTTAATTTAATGACTGTTTTCAAATAGGTATTTTAAACACTCCCCCATCTGCCATTGGTTGTGACTAAAAAAATATCCCCACCCAACTCATGCCATTGGTTGAGGCGGTTATTGGTCTATTATTTTTTTAATTGTATTAATTAAACTATTAATTAAATTAAGTTCCATTTAATAATTCAGTTATTAAATCATAAAGTTATTCATTCATTTTTTTAAATATATTTTTAAATTTGGTATATATATATATATATATATATATACATGTGTGTGTGTGTGTGTGTGTGTGTTTTACACTATGGCCTCACAATTTACAGTAACCAAAATATGGAACATGATAGCTTTCCCATGCAGGGTAATGAATTCAAGCAGCTGAGGTCACTTCCTTTCATACCCACCCTGCCATGTTCTTAACCAACCAGCATGCCACAAAGAACAAGAACAAGGAAGCGCAACCATCCACACGCTTACACACTAAGCAAGTGAATGTTCACATCAGCGTTATTATCTCATTAAGAACTGGAACAGTAGGGGATCCTTCTCAACCTGTTCTATGTACGCAAATTAGACAACAAACAAAGAAAGAAGAACAAACAAAATAGAGCAGAATCATAAGAGGAACAGAGGCAACCGGGGACCTTTTTACAGTGATAGGATACAGAGAAAGTGTGGCATAATATCTACAGTATGTGCTCCCACATTCCAAAATACATGTAGCTAACGGTTTTCATCGTGTAAAAGTTAGTTTCATGTTGGGTTTGTGTACACTTCTTTAACATGTTTCATTTCTGGTTCTACTGTTATTTCCTACTTCTATTTTTGCGTCAAGACAAGAGACAGGTAGTGTTCGCTGTCGTTTAGTCACTCTCTCTCAGTCTTTTCTCTTTATCATGCGCAATAAACTCAAAACTGACTTCACCCAGGGTGCTCCCTACCAGCTCCTATCAGAACTTTCTCATCTTCATCTTCCTCTGTCTGTTTTGGTTTCAAAAGAGCTACACTGTCATTGTGGATGAAAGAGAAGCAAAAAAGCCACTAATAGCAAATGAGTCAAGCAGTCCATGCTATTTTGTCAGCACTGACTGGGCTCACAGTGCACATATCATTCATAAAGCTATTAAATATGTATCTGTTGTGTCATAGGCCCACTGTAAACTTTGTTTCATGAGAGTGGTGCTCGATTCAGCTGCAGGGCATCACAAGCTCCCTCTGCTCTCTGTCTGTCAAAGTCTTTCTCTATACCGCTTTAATATTCTTTCTCTCCCTCTCTCTTGATCAGCTTCTGCTCTTTCTCTTTGTTGCTCTCTTTCTAGTGAGGGGGAGTAACTTCATTTATCACCTGTTATGTCCTGTGGCTAACACTGGGAGCAAAAACACACTTGCACGCAGTCAAACAGGAAACGTCACATTTAGTTGTGACCACAAGTTCACAGGTGTTTAAAATTTAAGTTTTTTCTGCTGCCACAAATCGGGTCAGTCATTCAGGGTTTTACTTACCCTGCCAACAGTTTCACTGGCCCTATATCACAAAAATTGATAAATTTTATTATTAGTAACATAATTTAAGTACCATTTGAAAGTTTAGGGTCAGTAAGAATTTATTTTTAAAGAAATTAATACTTCAGCAAGAACACATTCATTTGTTAAAAATGTACAGTAATGATATTTGTTGTTACAAATAAGTTCTATTTCAAATAAATGCTGTTGTTGTTAACTTTCTATTAATAAAAGAATCCTAAAAAAATATGAAGCAGCATAACTCTTTATAATATTGTTTATAATAAGATATTTGAGCACCATATAAGCATATCTGAATGATTTCTGAAGGATCATATGACACTGAAGACTGGGAGTATTGGCTGCTGAAAATTCAGCTGTGCCATCACAGGAAAAAAATAAATTTTTAAATATATGTAAATAGAAAACAGCTGTTTTTAATTAGAATAATATTTCAGAATATTGATTTATTTACTGTATTTTTAATCAAATAAATGCAGCCTTGGTGAGAATGAGAGACTTAAAAACATTTTTAAAAATCTGACCGACCCCGAACCATTGAACAGTATGCTTATGCTCACCAAGTTTAAAATTTTTTATTAATGCATTTTTATGTTAAATATGTATATGTTTAGTCAATCACTGATTTTTATATAAAAAATACAACTTTCACTACAAATAATTTATTACTACAAATAATATATCAATAGTCAGCCTAAAACCTAATACATTATCAGGGGGGGAAATTAACATATATAAAATATAAAAATATTGAACATTTTGTATTATAGAGATGACAAATTATACTAATAGCTATATGTCACCCTATTCAAGCTTTAAAATAATACATGCTTTTGACAACAATTGCATAATATACAAAACATTACTGATGTTCATTCTTGTAATTTTAAAGCCTCATAGTCACCAACAACTGATTAATGGTCCATCAACTATTCAAAATCTATCTCACACTAGCCTTGGTTTATTAGTAAGTGTTTATTGTAAAACCTCGTCTCATAATCTACTGCATTTGCAACAAATGCTGACAATAACATACAGGTGCATCTCAATAAGTTAGAATGTTGTGGAAAAGTTCATTTATTTCAGTAATTC